TGTTCCTGTCCTCCATCCTCTCACCCTGCCTGAACTCTTGCCCAGGACCTCCCTCCCCACGAGGACAGACCAGCAATCTTTGGCTTCCCTCGCCGTGAAGCTCTGCCCACCATGTGGTTTGGGCTTGTCTCTGTCTTTTTTGTACCCTCGGTTATCTCTTCTTGTTCAATCCAGTGGACTTTTCTAGAGGTAGAGTGGGGCTAAAATGACACAGTGTGAAGCCTGACACCCAGTCCCTCACTGTGCCACTGTCTTACTGCTGTATGGCCTTGGCCAAACCATCTAACCTCGCTCAGTCCCCACCAGCAGAACAGGGCAGTAATGCCAGCTCACAGAGTAGGTGTGAATATTCCTAGGACCTAGCACATGGCAGGCCTGGCAGCTTGGGTTCTGAATGACCCATGAATCCAGAATGGCCAGGGCCAGAGGCCTGCCCAGACACACTTCCAAACAGGCCAGAATGTTCCACGTCTGCTGTGTACCAAGGTGGAAATGCACCCTTTCTCATGTCCCCTGCCACAGCCTGGTTCTCACCCCAGATGTCTCCACACAGAAAGCTTCCTGGGGAGCAAGGAAGGGCCCAGGTAAACCAGGGTGCAGCCATTCATTGATCAGTGTAGATAAGACCTCACAAAGGGCAGGATCAGAGCTGTGCAGCGCCTGGTGCATAGTAGGTGCTCATAGACATGCAGCTACTGCACCATGGTTCAAGAGCGGGTGTCACTCTGTTGGAAAGTGGAGACAGGATGTATCTGTCACCCACCCACCTGCTCGCACTGCCCAGGGATCCTCTTCTACTGTATATTCCTGACCAGGTGGGATTCATGGGCTGCTGTTACCAAGTGTGACACCTTGCATGCTTACAGAACAACGGAAACGTGTCTCTTGCCATCCCAAGGCCCTGAGTCCAGACTGCAGGTATGGGCAGCCCAGGCCCCCAAGGGACTCCGCTCCAGAGCTCTTCCCACACTTCTGTGCTGCTGATGGTCCCTGTGCTCCCTGGCTGGTCAGAACACCGCTCAGTTTCTGCCTCCATGCTGAACTGGATTTCTATGGGCCATACTACCCACTGTGACCTCAGTCTCACCGATCACACCGGTAGTAGCCCTGTGCCCACGTTCTGAGGATGCAGGAAGAACATGAATTTTGAGGCGACCCCACCACAGGGGTCTTGGTGGTGTGCAGAGGATTGTCCCAGGCTTCAGTGGGGTGCTTTCTCCCAGCAGTGGTTCTGGCTATGCCACATACCTGTCCACACAAGCCTGTTCTCTCCACTCTGTGTCCCTCAGAGTGGAGAGAACAGGCTTGTGCTACAAGAAGGCTAGATGCAGCCAGTGCCCCAGTGGATGAGGGTACATTTCCTTCCGGGCCGTAGGCTGCCACTGTTGAGGACCTGGGTTTCTGTCTTCCCCAGAAGGTCACAGTTCCGGCACTGAGCCTTTCACCAAGTCTGTGAGTTGGGTCTTATCAGCCCAGTCTGGATCATGTGGCCCAAGTCTCAGCCCTCTGGGCCTGGTCTGAACTGGGCCTTGATCGGTCTCAGCACCAAGTTTAGAGGAAGAGGTGCACTTTGAGGTCAGGTCCCCCACTGCAAGCCAGATGTGTGCATTGCACCTCCCTGAGGCGGCCGTGTCTCAGTGCTTCTCCACTGAGCGCTGCCAGAAATCCACGTTCCTGCAAGCACACTCCGCTCTATCCAGAGCCCCGGCTTTGCCTCAGTCTCCCACTGGCAGCTAGCTTTAATGACAGCAGCACATCACAACACACGCTGCCACACATGTGCTGAGTCCTGGCAGGCAGAGTCACTGTTCCCACTGCACATATGTGGGAAACAGGGCCAGGGGTGACAGGACTTCCCCTGCGTTGCCCTGAGGCGTAAGAGACCAGACATCCCGCACACTGACCAGGTGATGTGATCCCTTTCACAGCCACACAGACCGATCTTGTGCACAAAGCGCATCTTCATTGTGGTGAAAGGTCCCGGGTAGGTGGACGTGATTCTGTCCCCAAAACGTCTAGGCGTCCCATGTGACTTATTTAGTCACTTGAAGAGCAGCTGTTTCCAGGCTGAGTGTTGCTGCAAATCAGAGCTGGTTTGTGTGCTGGTAGAAGGGCACAGGGGCCAACTGCTGGATGTACTAGCCAGGTAGCACGAACCTCCTTTCATGGATTCCACCTGGCTTGCCTGGAGCACCTTTGACACACAGGTCAGGAAGCCTCATGCCAGGTGACAGCTCAGGAAAGCTGTGTCTTTGCTGACTCCAGAGCTTCACCCTGACCCCAGCCCAGCCCTGCCTTGCTTCAGAGAAAGCACTCATTTCAGGAGCAGTGCTCTCCCAGTCTTATCTCATTCAGAGCTTCTTTATGGAGGAGTGGGTGAAATTTCTTCCAGTTGACATTTGCCTACCATTGTCTCCTCACACTGTTTCTGATAAATCCCAGAGGAGAGAGGCCTCTGTGGGCCCAGGGGTGATACTGGTGTACAGGGAATAGATTTCACTGTGGCCCGATTTCTCCTGACCGAGGGGCCCACTGGATATTCTGGGAGGTTTGCCCTCAAAAGACACAGCGCCCTTGTTTAGGCAACTGAAGCCACAAAAGGAGGGGACAGGGATGGAGATTTGCTGCTCCCTGCTCATCACAGCTCTGCAGAAAAAGTGTCAGTGTCTCTCGCGTCCCTCTGAGAGGGCAGGGCTTGGGGTAGGAGCTCTGGCTCAGGCTGGGCCACCATGATTCCACCTGGCTTGCCTGGAGCACCTTTGACACACAGGTCAGGAAGCCTCATGCCAGGTGACAGCTCAGGAAAGCTGTGTCTTTGCTGACCCCAGAGCTTCACCCTGCTTGGTGTCTGCTGAGTGCCTGCTGGCTGCGTGCCCAGGGCGTTCAGTGCTAGCGCTGGGTCCACTTAACGCAGAGCTGTGTTGCAGAAAGGTGAAGAAGATCCTGGGCTCTTAGAAGCTGTTTGTCCCAGCGGAGCAGGAAGGGGTGCAGGACTTAAAGATGTACTCAAAAGGGACAGCATGTAAGCAAGGTAGAAGAGGAGAGATCAGTGTGCAGGTAACAGAGAACCACATAGGACACTGGCGGTCACAGCTGCATTGAACTGCAGCATCGGCCCTGCAGGGGAAAGGAGCAGTACCCCCACCTTCCTAGGCTGGGATCCTGCGACTTCTGGGGGCTCCAAGGGTACCCTGAGTACAGCAGTACCAAAGCAGGCAGCACAGAGAGCCCTTGCCGAGGCTAGATATCATCACAAGCTCTGGCTCTAAGGACACATGGTGTTAAAGGACCAGGCCTGAACACAACCATGCCAGAAGACTCGTAAATACAGAAGCCAAGCCATTCTGCCAGCACATGGGGAGGGATGTGGGGTGACCCTGTGCACCCCAGCTGTGGCCGTGCTACAGACACCTCTGCAGCAACAGATGGACACCAGCGAAGGGAACCTCCAGGGGCCAAGATGTGGGGCCTTGTCCAAAGGCCATCTGTCTTGCCTGTGAGGACAGAGGTGATGCGGAGACAAAACCCTCATGTGTCCTCCTCTGAGAGAGGCTCTGGCGTGTGGAGCAGGACTGTAGCCTCTGAGCCAGAGGGCGTGGGATGGAAGGTCCCCCGAAGACTGCACCTTGACAGCCACACCCCACTGCTGGGCTAAAGTGTCCCTGCCATGCAGTTCAAGGTCTGATTCCCTAAGCTGCTGAATATTCTGTTGTGTGCTGTTCCTAACCAGTGCATTTGGTTTGGTTAAATCACTGTGAAATAATGATAGTGCTGCTTTGTGGCAGCATCGACGTCCTCCACGGCCATGTTTTAAACACAGAGGTGTGGGTGGGAGCAGGCCAGGCTGACATGTCTTTCCTCTGCATGTCTGCAGCAGAACATGCTTGATACCCATCCTTTTATTGCTAAGAAACTTGAGGGGCGGCTTTGTGCATCTCTACTCCTCCCTCAATGCCCTCCACCACGGTGCTGGCGAATTCTGAATGACTGCAGGAGGGTACTGCAAGCCCACCTGTGCTGAGGTGCGCCTATGTGAACCTGGGCACAGGGCCCACTCGGAAAGCAAATCAGGGGAACAGGGTAACGCAGATGATGGAAGTAAACATCCTCCCACCTCCTAGCAGCATGACCTCACTTCCTGTGCCGCAGAGTCCCGGTGTTAAGTAGCAGCATGTAATAACTAGCAGCGTGTGCTTCAGGGCTGCGGTGCGGAGCGATGGATGAGCGTGTGAGCACTGCTGCGTGCATGGGAGTGAGTGTGTGCAGAGAGCATGGGAGTGTGTGTGACATGCCACCTGTGAGGGAGAAAGGCGGGAAGGGAGACAGGACTGGGAGAAGAATCTGGAAGGAGGGGAGCTGATCCGAGACAACACTAGGTTTTATTGTTCTTGTCATTTATTTTTGTTTCACAATTTTAAAAAAGTAAACATATTCATTTGTCGTAGGTTCTAAGACTACTTTGATAAAGAAAGAGGGAAAACTAGTCAAGTATCTCAAAATATTTCTGTGGTTGTCTCTGAGAAACATGAGACAGAAAATGTTTTCTTTCTTTTTGCACGTTTCTGTAGGTTTCCAGTTGTCTTGTTTCACATCTATTCATTTTAAATCAGGAAAAAGGTCTTCTATGAGAAAATGAATGCAGTGTGTACATCATGTGGTGATAGCCTCTGGAGGCGGCTGACCTGGGTGCAGCTGGCAGGGTCACTGCCCGCCAGGCCCCTTTTGGGCTCTGTAGGCACTCAAGCTTCAGCACGGCGTGGAGCCCACATCTCAGTGCTTGACTCGTGCGTGGTATGAGCCTCAGTGCCCCTGGGGCTGCACCCTGCTGTGTCCTTCACGGCCTCAGATAGGTTACACCGGCACTGTGCACCTCCGCGTCTCCACTGGCATCTGGCATGAAGGCGTCAAGTGGACCTGAGCCTCTTTCCTCCCTGCTCACTGGGGAGCGGCCTGGCCTGTGCGGGCATGTGAGCCAGCCTGCCTGCTCTTATCATCCGCAGGCCCCGCAGGGTGGAGCCCGTGTGCTCGGGGCTGCAGACCCAGATCCTTCGCTGTTACCGTGACCACGCACACGAGGTGCTGCTGTGCTCAGACCTGGTCAAGGCCTACCAGCACTGCGTTTGCGCGAGCGCCGCCCACAAGGTAAGGCTGCCCGCCTTGGGCACAGGGCCTGCCTGTGCCCTAGAGAAGTTTCTCAGTCACCTCCCACTCAGAGCCTCTGCCCGTCCCTCCCGTGAATGCCTCAGACTCGGCTCGAGGAGAGGCCTCACATTCCAGGGGCCAGCACCAGCCAGGGTATCCAAGTTCCCAGACCCCTGCCTTTGGGCTTTAGGGTTGCTAAGTGAGGGGAGGTTGAGCAAGGGCAGAGGCAGCCCCGTGGAAGGAAGAGGGACAGAGTGGTACTGGGCCGAAGGGGAGCCGACGCAGACAGGCCTCAGCCTAAGGGGTGTCCAAGCCTGCCCTTGCTCCCTGGCCCTGCAGCAGCTCCTGTCCTCTTCTCCCACTGTATGTGGCTGCTGCTCTCTCTTCTGGATGGTTCTGCCCTCCTGCCCAAGCCCCGCCCCATCTTCTGATGCTGCAGGCTACTCCAGCCTAGGGAGCCCCACTCATTTAGGGGCTTCCGGAGGAGGACTTTACCTGAGGGCTATTGTGCTGGATAAGGTATTTCAAAAAGTGTGGGATAAGGACGTCTTCCTCCAGGAAAGCTGTGGCTCTCGGTGGGATGAGGAGTGAACCCAGGGCCTCACACATGCTCGGCAGGTGTCCTACCACTGAGTTACACCCCTACGTCTTACTCATTTGATTGTGAGATGAGGTCTCATTAAATTATCCAGGCTAGCCTCGAGCCTGTGATATTCCTGCCTCAGCCTCCCTAGTGCCTGGGATTACAGGCATTTGTCACTGTACTCAGCAGAAAAGGTTCTTTTGCCAAAGTAGGAGACAAGCTGCTTTAGGTGCCTGTGATGAAAAAGGCTGAGATCTTTTTGGCTGGGACTGCGCCTTGGTAGTAGAGTGCTTTCATAGTGTGCTTGAGACCCTGGGGTCCATCTCCAGCACCACGAAAAATAAAAATAAAAAAGGCTGAGGTCAGAGGCCGTGTGCTCCCCAGCTGTATCCGAGGGCTCTCCCACTGACTGGTCTTGCAGGTCTGGGCCTTGTGTGCCCACCCTGGGACTCTGCTCTGCTCCTGCCCTCCGGGCACAGCCCACACCAGTACCCCCATCCAATTAGCCCAGCAGCTGCCCTGTGGGGTGGGTGGGCACAGAGCCTCAGTCGGCCCTCACAGTGTGAAGCCCAGGGTTGACGCAGCGAAGGAGGGAGAACCACATGCCCGATTTCAGGAGGAGCCCAGCAGAGGCTGTACCAGCCCTGCTGACCTGTACACAGAGGAGCTAGGCACCCACAGGCAACCCAGGACTCGGTCTCCTACCTGTCAGCGAGGGCCAGGCTGGCTACAGTCCCTCTCCCTGCCCCAGCTGCTGGTCAGCATTGCCTGGTTTCCACCGGGGGAAGGACGTGCATCTGGATGCATCCCACCACAGGCAGTCCCCGCGCTCCTCTGCCCCTGGGCCTGGCTCTGCCCCTCCCCTCGCCCCCACTGCATGTCCTTAACGAGCACGTCTCACCTGTGTGTCTTCGCTATGCCAGGATGATGAGGCAGGCAGAATGCAGGAAGTCCCAGTGTTCCTGGGCCCCAGATGCCCGACGGACTCTGGGATGCTGCCAGGCCAGCCTCTTCTTCCTGGCCCTCACCCCATGCCATTGGAGAGCACACTGGACATGAGCAGCTGGCCAGCGCAGAGGCCAGCCGGTGCATGTGCTGTCTGGAGCATGCAAGTGGCAACCTGTGCCTGAGTCACAGTGAGGCTGGAGAAAGCCTCGCTGCACTCTGCCAGTCCCCACTCCATGAGGCTCCTGGGGGACAGGAGGAAGGAGGACCCCAAGAGGGTTTGTCTGTAGAAGCGGCCAAGTGACGGGGGACAAAGAACTTTGTGGTGGAGCAGCTGGTGGCCGCAGTGCTGGCTCCAGGGACAGCTCAGAGACCTGCGGGCGGCCTCAGGCCCAGGGCCAAGTGTTTGTGTGTGGACTGTGCCGAGCTGTTAAGGTGGGGTCAGCAAGGCAGCCTCGGTGAGCAGAGTGGAAGTGGAGCGAGACCTGCTGTGCCTCAGGGGAGGCAAGCGGCCCAGCTCTCCGCTGGCTCAGGAGCCCAGGGTGTCCTGCCTGCTGGGATTGCTGCAGAAATGGGTCCCTCGAGGCCTGTGTGCTGCTGGGCAGGGAGCTGAGAGCAGGATACCGTGGCCGCTGGGAGCCAAGGCCCAGGATTGTGACAACTCTGGGCAGCAGGGGCGGGACTGAACTCTGACCTTTCCTTCACAGGGCTGAGGAGCAGCCACCACACCTAGTGCCGGGCACCAGTTTGCAGCTGTGACCAAAGGACCAGCCATGGGACCACAGACACAGACCCCAGGCCGTGCCACTGTGCCCTGCCCTTCCTCTAAGCTCGGCCACCATGTATTTAGAAACAGAATGTGCTGCTGTCCGAAAACAAATAAAGCAGATGCCTTTGTTTTCAGTCATTCTCTCGCCGGCCAACAGCCCCTGCCGCCTGCTCTGTGTCCAGCCCTCTGCTGGATGCTGGCGCTGCAGAGCTGAACGAGACGGGCCGCTCCCTTCGGGGAGTCCCCAGCCTGGCAGGGAGACACACGAAGCCTGTGATTACCCGGCAGGGGCACAGGGCCACGCGCAGCAGGTATGAGAGGGAGGAGGGAAGCCGTTCTTCCTGGGGTGGGGCGGGAGACAGGCCAGCCTCCTGGGGGATGTCCCGTCTGCCCCGTGCTGGCTGACAGAGGCCACCTGAGATGCCTCTCCAGACGCTCCGGGCAGCGAGGGGAGACATTTCAGCGTTTGGGAGAGTGGAAAGGGCCTGCTGTGTGGAGGGTCCACTGTTTGCCTAGCTTATTGACCTTAGAAGTGACATCGGGGCCATCCTACTGTGTACAGCCAGCCCCTTTGAGGCTCCCCCAGAAACCTCTGGCTACCCAGGCTTGGCGCAGCCTTGGGTCGGAGAAGCTTCAGTGGCGGGCAGGGCTCGGTGGGAACCCGGTGCCAGGCGTGCACCCAGTGGGCTGGTGCTGCCCGAGCCTGAACCAACTTGCTTCTCAGGGAGAGAGCCGCCTCCAGATGGCTGATTGTGCAGGACTGACCTCACGCCTAGCCCCTGGGCTTCCCCTCTGCTGGGCCTTCGCACAAGCCTGTGGACGTGGATGGGTCATAGCAGGGGATCCCTAAGGGCCTCCCTCAGATGTGCGCCCTGTGGCTGGGCCACCACAGCTTCACTGGTGCTCAGCCGGTGCTCAGCAGCTCAGGGGCCAGCACAGCAGAGGGGGGCCACTGGGCCACGCCCCGACCCCCACCCTCGGCCTGCAGCCTGCCGTGCCCAGTTCCCGATAACCAGGCTGTGGAAGTGTCACTGCTGGCCTGAGGTCAGTGGCCCCAGAGTTCACAAGTGTGCCCTGGGAACAGTGGTAGTAGCAGCATTCTCGGGCCTCACCTGGGACCCAGATAAAGAGCCGGGAGGGGGCAGTGGGGACGGCCCTTCTCCAGGCTCAGGCCTAAGGCTGGGAGGGCGCGCACGCAGGGCAGGACAGAGGCAGCTCTTCAGGGAGCCACGTGGAGCCCTTCCCCCTCGACCTCTCCGTCTCTGCTATCACAGTCTGGACCCACGGCCCAGGCTCACCCCTGCCCCTCTTTCCCATAGGGCTATAGAAGACAAAATTGCAACATATTTGATTTGAAGATCATAGTAGGCTATTGTTTGTGATTCTAGAATCAGCAACACCCTGTCCTATAAAATGACGAGCATTCAGTGAGCCAGGCAGAGGAGGTTGCCTTTATGGACATAAAAATGCTGAGAGCAGCACCAGGATCAGAAAGTAGCCCGGCTGTTTCGAAGTTACTTCCCCTAGAGTTTAAACTGGGGCTTAGCATGCCGGACCTGGTCAGTGCATCCCTTTTGAGCAGCTACTGCAACTCTCTTATGTTTTAGAAAACCGGCAGGTTTCAGGGATCAGCTTGATGACCTGATGCCTAGGTGAGTGGCCCTGCTGTGGTCTGGCCTGGTTGGGGGCCAGAGGCCTCCCGGAGATCATCTTTAACAGTGCTCTTAGCTCTGCTCCCGTTGCCCCTTCCCCCTCCTCTGTCCAGGACCCTTAGTGGAGCTCCGTGAGCGCCCTCTTGGCACTGCTCCTCCCTGGCTGGCATGCAGGCCTTCCCAGGCCCCTGCCCTCCCTCCCTCTGTGTCTGAGCTCCTCTTCTTGGCACCACCCAGAGCCAGGCCCTCCATGGAGCTCTGCCCTCTGCCAGCACCTACCCACACACAGGCTCGCAGTCAGGCCAGCCCAGGACAGGGCAGTGAGTGAGACAGAAGGACCACACATGACCAGCTTCCTCACCATGCCTCTGTGGGCCCCAGTCATGGCACAGGGGAGCAGGGGACATGGTGCACAGAGGAAGAGCATGGGCTCTTAGGCCTTAGGCCTCAGTTCACATCCCAACTCTACCTCCTATCGGCTGTCAGGAAAGACCAACAAGTCCCTCAGGCCCAAGCCTCAGTTTCCCCATGTACAAAACAGCTGGAGCAGTATCTAGGATTGCTAGGGAACATCCCTGGCCCATCCTGCACCCACGCAGCTGAAATTTCCTGAAGACCGCCCCCACCCCAGCTCTCAGCTCTCAGCTCTCAGAGGACTACCATGCCCCTCTGGCTCCCACAAGGCCTCTCCCCACCGGAGAGTAGCGCTCACAGCCAAGGACAAGAAAGAGGATGAAGTTGCTGAGCACCTGGACCCAGCTGCACTGAAGGTATGTGGCCTAGCAGAGCTCCTTTTAGATTGTCTTTTGGAACTGGGCTCTGTCACCTGGAACAGGAGTCCCTGTGGTAGAGGTGTTGTGGGGAGCAGGTGCTGTCCTTCTCTTCCTTGAGCCAAGCTGGTCCTGATTCCCCTCGAGGGCACCCGTGACTGCCAGTGGTGAAACACCAGCTCCCGGTGGTCCTGGGAGAGAGGCCGGGCAGGGAGGAGCCCTCTGGAGCTCTTGACAGACCAGCGGTCACAAGCACCTCAGCTGGTGAGCTCCTACATAAGCTAGAAGGCCCAGCTCAAGTGACCGTGCCTCTGTGTCCTCCTACCTGACCCCCAGGTAGTTGGCAGCTGGTTCTTCCATGAATTTCCACAGGCCTTAGCCAGGGAGTGGAGCCCAGGCCAGGGTTATGGGGGCAGGGGTGGGCTGTGGCTGGAATGTTGCTCCCCAAGCCTTAGCATCACCAAAGGACTGGGCTATGTTGACCTGATTGTCTCCCTAGGCGTTTTCTGAGGACTCAGATTGAAGCGTGGGAATGAGCCCCAACTGTGCGTGATGTGTACATGCTGTGTCTGCAGGATCCGCATGCACATACCAGCCTGGGCAAGAGCGCAGGTGTGTGTGCGATTTGGCACATACTGTCTGCGTGTTTGAGTATGCAGGTGTGATTGCATGCAGGGCTCTGTGTGCGTGTGTGTGTGCGTGTGTGTGTGTGTGTGTGTGTGTGTGTGTACAGAGGGCTGTGTACACATAGCCCTCTGGCCCTTGTATCCAAATCTCTGTGCACACAGCAAGTGTATGCATGTGTGTATGTTTGTGTGCACATACCTACACTTGTGTGCACACTCCTGTATATGTTCATGCACACATGTGTGCTCCTCTGTGTGTGTCCAGGTGTATATTTTTACATCTATGTGTGTAGATTTGAGTCTGCACAGGTAGCCAGCATGCTCTGCAGAGCTGATGCCCAGGGGCCCCTCTGTCTGGGTCTCACCTGTATCTCTGACTTCCCAGAATTCAGCTCTTTCCCCATCTTTGCTCCTCAACTCTGCAGTGTGTGTGTGTGTGTATGTACACACACACATGTGCATCCTCAGCCATCTGCCTCTGCTGCGGTATGAGTGTGCCTGTGACGTGTGTGTGCACTTGTGAGCAAACGGCATGTTTGTGTGTGTACCTGTACCTTCAGGACCTTCACATGGCCGTGTGTGGCAGGAGGTCCCTTCAGCATGGCCCAGACAAGGAGTGTGTCAGGCAGGTGTGCACCTGGAGGCAGACACTCCAGGCTCATACCCCAGCCAAGAGACTATTAAAAGGGGATGCTGTCTGGGTATGGGGTTGCACGCCTGTAACCCCTGCTATTCTGGAGGCTGAGGCAGGAGGATCAAAAGTTTGAGGCTGGCCTGGGCAACATAATGAGACTCTGTCTCATAATAAAAGTAAAAGGAGCTGGGGTGCCACTCAGTGGTAGAGCACCCGACTAGCACGCACAAGGCCCTGGGTTCCATCCCCAGTACTGCCAAAAGAGAAAAAAAAGAACAAATGAAGGAAGAGAAGAGAAGCAAAACGGAAAAGACAAAGACAAAAGACAAAGAAAATGGGGAGTGCTAGCACTGCCCACCCCGTCACAGGGGAGTAGATGCTGGCCACATCACTGGGCTCCCCAGGAGAAGGGCTCAGTGCTTAGGAGTGACCACAGAGGAGGTGGAGGAGCTGAAAGCACAGACGGGCCACGTGAGAACTGGAGATGAGCAGCGTCGGACGCCCCTGTCTTGTCTCGGCGGGGCTAGAGGGACAACGGGAAACCAGAGACAGCTGCTGGAGCGGGCTCCAGGGAGGAGGAGAAGCAAGCTGGCTTTGCCATGCCACCCACCCCACCCCACCCCCGCCAGCCCTTTGCTGCCTCCCAAGGCTAAGCACAGTGGGGAGCCAGGGACCAGCCACCCCCTCTGGAAAGGAAGGGCCTGGGGAGTGCCCTGCGGTGCGGGCTGGGCACGTGTGCCTGTGGGTGCGCCCTGTGCTTGGATGCACATGGACGATGAGTGTAGATGGTGTGTACTCATACCTGTGTGTTCACACTTGCGTAGGCAGATCATGGACAGCTTGCAAGCAATGGTACCAGGGATCAAGCCTGATCCTGATCAGGATCAAACCTGATCAAATCAGATTTTTACCATGGTCCAGTTGCAGTACCTTTTATAAATAGTGCTTGTTCAAAGTCTCACACAACACTGCGGACTAATTACAACTGCCATCCCTTAGTCAGAGACACCGGCACAAAGCGTGAGTAACTTGCACAACACTCCACAGCAGGGCTCAGCCCGACACTGCAGCTGCTGTCGGAGGTGGGGTCCCGGCTGTGTCCTGGGCAGGGCTTGGGGACCTCCGGACGACCACTCTGTGTGGTTTCAGAGACCCTGCCCTGCAGCTCCCTGGGGGGAAGGTGGCCCCTGGTGCAGTAACTGCAGCTTATTCCCCACTACTGGCCTCGAGAGGCCCAAGGACACCAGGTCAGGGGCTGAACCACCAAGGTGGCCAGGAGCTCTGAGCAGCAGCTCAGGGCAGCTCTGTGAGGTAGGTGAGACCAACCCTGCCCCAGCCACTTCCCCCGCCCGGTCCTCCCATAGCCACAGCACCCCAGGTGCACCAGCAGCTGGTGACACTCAGAGTCGGGAGGACATGTTTAGCAATGTGCATAAAAACTTTTTTTTGGTAGCAC